TTGAATGTTAGTTTTCTGGGATGGGGGTGCAGGCTGGGGATTGGCCTCCACGGAGTCTCAGCCCTTTGTGGTTGTGGTATCCGAGGTCTGGGTGCAGGTTGAAGTTCCGGGCTGCGGGCATCCTCCTGTGGCTCTTGGGGGATTATTCTTGTGCTTTTGCCAGTCTGCTCATTTCCCTAACAGCTCTCATGCCAGGGTTTGTCGGCCGGCCATTACTTCCTGAATTACAGCTCCACACTCGCCTACCCTGAAGTCATACTATTACTCTTGGACTCATTACTTAGCAGGACAGCTTCTCTGAGGAGAAGAGAACCGTTGCCTTTTATAATTAGTCATTTACATTTCCTTTCCTTGGGGAGGAATTATTCAATCTGAGAACTGGTTGGTGGCCTGGTAGAATTGGAATGAGAGGGAAAGTGGCTCCATTATCCTGGAACTTGTTGGTGAGAAGGCCACCAGAGAAGGTTGGTGCCTGAAGAGGGCATTGTTGACCTGGTGCAGGTGGTGACCTTCAAGTAGAGCTGTGGTGACCCCCAGGAATGAGCTCAGACCACTGGGAATTCCCAGGTCATAGTCCCCCAGGGAGCTGACTCCAGCTTACTCAGTTCAAAGGAAGGAGAACTAGGGAGGATCACTGTGCTCTGTCAGGGGGCTCTGAGCTGGCCTTTGTGGACACTGGGGAGAGCCGTCTGCAGGAGACCCCATTGACTTGGGAGTGAGCAGATGGAGAGTACCTGCCAACTTACAGATGGGGAATGCAGACCTCACTCTCGTACCCACTGAGGCCGGCTCTGTGTGCTGAAGAGTCAAGATGTGATGTTAGAGTTTTGCTCAGTAAAATAGAGGTATATTAAACTGACAAAGTCCTTCTGTAACTGGGCTGCAAAGATTCATTAAGAATGAGCAGTAAGCAATTTAAAGGTGAAATTAAATTCTTTTAAAATGGCATTGAGAAACATAAAAATCCACATTCCTGCCTGAACAAAAAAGGCGCTCCTTTAAGTCACCTAGCTGCCCCTTGCCTGAAAATGGTCAGTCCACCTGCTGTGGAGAAGTCAGGGAGTCTCTGTGCTGGTTGCTGTGCCTCTTCTGAGAACACACAGCATGTGCCTTCTCACTGACACACTCAGTGAGCCCTTACCTAGGAGTGCCTGGAGCTCAGTCTCTCTCTCTCTCTCTCTCTCTCTCTCTCTCTCTCTCTCTCTCTCTCTCTCTCTCTCTCTCTCTCTCTCTCTCTCTCTCTCTCTTTCTTTTTCTTTTTTTTTTTGAGACAGGGCCTTACTATGTAGCTTTGGTTGTCCTGGAACTTACTATGTAGACCAGGCTGATCTTGAACTCAGAGATTCACCTGCCTCTGTCTCCCAAGTGCTAGGATTAAAGGTATATGTCACCATGCCTGATATCTAGTAATAAATAATTATTTTTTTATTTTCTTTTTAATGGCTGTTTTAGAGCAACGTCAGATAAAAGGTGACGCTGGGGAGTTCCCATGTAGTCTCCCAGCTGTCCTTCCCCTGTAAGACTGTTTGCATTAGTGTAGCACACTGTGACTGACAGGCCAATATCAATGAGTCATGATCAACTCAAGCTCGTGGTTTCTTTAGGCTCACCCCCAATGCTGTAAACCCCGGGTTTGGCAGATGCCTAACAGCATGTGCTGTCCATTAGTCCTCAGTAGTCAGTCCGTGTTCCACCTGTTCATTCTCCTTGCCTTCCACTGGAACCGGGTCTCCATGGTTTTCCTTTGTCACAATGTCACATGGTTGGAAGGGTGGCCTTCCCAGACTGGCTGTGCACATCCTGTTGTTTTGTCTCTGATCCACAGCTGTCCTTTATCCAGTGGCAGTTCTGTTTTGACCACTCTGCACTGTCTTACTGGACCCTGTGCTGCAGTTCCATGCTGTTCCTTGTCCCGTGCCTGGCAGGACCCCTCAGTGATAGACCCTGTCCTGTGATCTACAAGCTGGGTGCAGGAAGGTGGAGAATGTACTTGGGGTAGATGTTATGGTAGGTTCCATTTGATGCAGTTGCTCACCCCTCACTCTGCGTCTGTCCGTATGAGGGGTCATTCTGCCTCCCTATCATAGGTGAGAAGCAGGAGGGAGTTGAGCTGGCAGGTGGGAAAACAAGGAGTCAGGCAAGGTGCCATGTGTTTTCAGGAGCTGTTCTATGCTGACTGCACTCTGAGAGGCTTGCTCTATCCCTGTCCTTGTCCCTGTCCTTCCCATCTCTTCTCTGAGACTGTAATGGAGACATTGAGGATATTGCTTTAACCAGTATTTCTAAGCTTGGAGGGACAGCTAATGTGATGGATGACATAATCACGATTCAGAATGAGTTCAGCTGCCTGGAATACCAGCCCAGAACCAATCAAATGCACACACTAATAGGAATAAATGTAAAATCCTGTATTCAAGTTCAAAAACCCAGTCAGTATAGGTCAGTGGGAAGCAGCTGAGACAGTTGGGTCAACTGCGTCCTCAGTAGGAAGCTCTGTTATCATTTTGTCTGTATTATGGCCTCTGTCTTGTAACTGATAGTCCTCACCCTCTCTGTTATTTCTACACTGCACAATCAGGGATCTTTCCAAAGTATGAATTTTGTAGCCATGACAGTGGGCTGCTGCCCTTTCCCCTGCCTGATGTCATTGGGCAGCTGTGCCTTTTTCTCACCATCTGCTTGTAGCTACTTCAGAATGGCCTTCTTCCACTGCCTGCCTTGCCCTCACTTCCCCTTTCCTGAATATGCCATTGTCCCTAGGGACCTTGGGGCCCCTCTGTGCTCTGATCTCCACTTCTAGCTTTACTTAGAACCTTGTCTCGTTCAGCCCAGCCCTCACATCCTCACAGTGGCATACCTAGCCAGGCCTTGTGCTATACTCCAGGGCCAGCACCCACTGTGGTCTTGCCTTTCATGTCGCTTCTTGTCTATATGTTTTGTTTCCAGTTTGGCACAGCTGGAACTTTGTAAGTGAAGCATTTCCCCTGTCGTGCGTGTGCGCGTGTGTGTTTGTGCGTGTGTGTTGGGAGGTGCTGTTGGGTGAGCCCAGGGAATGTGTAGCTTTGTTAGTATAGGATGGCAGTCAGCAGGACACCCAGTAGGCCTTTCCTTCTCTGTGCCATCTCATGCAGCCCAGCTCTGCCACTCTCAGCACCAGTGATTACCATCTTGGAGCCCTCCGTGTGGACTTTACAGCTGCTACCAGAGCTCATGGAGCCTGGACTCAAGGCAGAGTTCAAGCCATGGAACCAGTCTAGACATAGAAATAGGGTCATCCCCAGCTGGACCGCCCTGCACCTCCATTAAGATGGGCGTTCTCTCCGAAGTTCTGACCATCCTGTGTTAGACCAGTCAGAGTGTTGCTGTTCTTGTCTTCTGCCTCAGGCCAGAGTGCCAAGGCCTTCTCATTAGCCTCAGAGGTCTTTTCAAAGTAGGGTCGTTCCTCCCTCTTCCTCTTCTTTCCCTTACAGACTGGTGTCCTTCTGAAAAGTCGTCTTCCCTTCCTGAGCTTTGGACAGACTGAGAAATAAAACAAAACAGTGGCAGGTGGAAGCAAAGAGGGCTAGCATTCTTGTTGAACAGGGGCTTGACGTGGTTTTCTAGCGTGGAAGCCAAATAACTGACTAAATCCAGTATTGTCCAGGCTGCTGTCTCCAGCCAGAGCTGATGGGCGCAGGCTGGGCAAGTGATGAGCCCACAGCGCCTCTGTCCTCCCTTAAAGCAGTGATTAGTCTCCTGGGGCGGGCTCTCACCGTGTGAAGTATCCCTCAGGTGTGGTGGGAAGTAGGGGATATGTCATCCCCCAGTTTCTTCAACTACTTTGGAGTGCTGTCAGGTTTAAGTGCTGCCATTTGTCATGCCCATCTTGTACTTGAAAGCTCTTCCCTGCTCCGCTGGGTTCTGTTCTGAGACTTCCAAGCAGGCCAAGATGGCAGGGTGTTCATTCCCATCACATAGATGTTGAGATACAAACCCAGAAAGGCCAACTACTTGTGGATATCACACATCTCCTAAATGTGAGCTAAGGTTCTGTTCCAGGTCTCTCTCACTTAAAGCTCCCTCCCCCAGGCTGTGCTGCCCACCACCAGTCTACATGAGCCCACCCGAGCTCACCCACATGGCTGAGCCTCCCCCAGGCTGTGCTGCCCACCACCAGTCTACAGGAGCCCACCCGAGCTCACCCACATGGCTGAGAATTGTCACCTCTCACTTCTCATGCAGTGACTGTATTGTTAGCACTTGGACTGCTGCACTGTCAGCACATTTCCCGTTTCTCATTGGCTCCCTGGTGGGCCTGGTGCTTGCTGTCCAGGTGCCCAGCGAGGTGGTCATTCCAGGAGATGGTTCTGCTCAATGAGCCAGACACGTGGGTGCTGGTTTGTTCAATTTAAATGTAAATATTCAACATTAGCAGATAGAAATGTTCCATGAAGCGTTCCTGAGAACTGTGTGCATCCTCTGACATCAGATGGGGGTGAGACCTGATGGTGCTGTGCTCTGTTGGTCTTACACAGAGTGTCGCCCTGTATCTGTTTCTCAAGAGGCAGCCTAGCAGTGTGTCCTTGGTTTGTTTTATAAAATTGTTTTGCATTATAAACTTGCTTTCGGTGCTTTTTCTTTTTGGAGTATCTGGGTTATTGGAGGGGAGTGGCACTCATGTGTAGTATGTCTTTGTGTGTGTTCACTCATGTGTGAGCATGTGTGCATTGGTGTATGTTTAGGCCTGGAATTGATATCAGCGGTCTTCTTCAATCTCACTTCATTTTTTGAGGTACAGCCTCTTGGTTGAATCCAGAGTTCTCCAGTTCTTGCTAGTCTGCCAGCTAGTGTGATCTAGGGGTGCCCTGTTGTCTCTTCCAAGTGCTGGGGTCACAGGTGGCCTCAATAGCTACTTGGCTTTTATATGGGTCCTAGGTATCTGAATCTAAGGTCTCAAAGCCTCCTTAGCCATGTGTTTTATTTTATGTACACATCATATGCATTATTATTCTTTTCCTTAGGACAACTACACCTTTGCCCAGCCTGGGATTCAAATGAAAGTGAAGATGCTTGAAGAACTTGTGAGCCGGATTGACGGTGAGTCAGCTCCAGAGAAGCCCTTCCCTGAGGCAGGGGAGTGCTAGAAGGAAGGCTAGGGAGGTGGCCCTGCTCCTCAGCTCTACCAGACACCACTGTCCTTGTTCTCATTTGGCTCGTGGTACCTGGGCCTGCTAGCTCTCACCCAAGTGCATCCTTAACAGGAGAAGATGCTGTTCTGCTCCTCCATTCTGGGCTCCAGTCAGGACTCTGTGGAGAAGGAGACGCCCATGCTCCTGGCAGCCAGCCTCCCTCCTGGGTCAGCTGCAGCTTCTCGTCTGGGCAACAGGGTGGTTGCTGATGGCTGTCCTTTGCCCTGCCTCTCCTGCCTGTGTATATCATTTGCTATCAAGGAGGATAGAATAATTTCTCCATGGAATCCAATTAATTACCAAGTCCAGAAAGAACATCTTCAATATTATAGAAAAATTATAGTGTGTGCTCGGGCAATTTTAGATTATGCTTTCATGTTTAAGTGAGGCCTTTGAAATACTTTTTACCTTCGTCCTTAAAATAATTCCCCTTGCGATGTGCTGAATGTCATATTGCAATAGCAGAGTTTAATTAAATGAAAGTTGAGAGATAATGCTTGCCCATTCCAAGCAGAGCCTCCTGATAGTTTGTTAAATTAATGAGCAGAGCATTAACAAAGTGATGCCAAGCAGAACCAGGCCTGTGTATATATGTGACACCAGCCAGTCAGCACTGAGCTGTAGAAGATGCTCCCTGCTTCCTAGAGTCCCCAGTGAGTCAGGCAAGTCCCTTCGCCAAAGGTGCAGAGCAATGTTGAGATGTAGTCCTGGCTGTGTGCCTTCTGTATGTGCAGGCTCCACCCCAGCCTTCCCCTTGCTGCTACTGAGGAAGGAGAACATTGTGACAGCCCTCTTCATAGGAAGACACTTGGTTTGGGAAATGACTGAGTGGCATTATAAACCAGAGCCAAAAATTTCTAAACTGCACTGTGTTCTTTGATTGAGCCTGGGAGTCGGTTCTGTCTGATGGTTATTACCTCATTTCCATATTATGAAGTCCCTTGCACTTCTAGGGATGCTTTATTGGATTCAGTGTGTTTAGCTGCTTTTCAACCTCTCTCCAAAGTGCTGCTCTTTCTTCCGTCAGTGCACCCTGTGCATTTATTCTACACTCACGTTGCGCTTTTCTCAGCTCTGGTTGAAGTTTTTTCCTACCAGCGATTTCACAAGTGTCCCTGGCCTCATTTAGTTCTTTGAAATACTATTTGCAGGAGCTGTGAGTTACACATTTCTAGCAGGTTCTTCTTTTCCTCCTGTGCCCCTTAGAAGGCTTATTTTATATTTTCCATGAGCCTTAAGTTGTGGCCAGGGTTGGTTTGCTCCAGCGCTGTAGTTGGGGAAATGCTTGAATTGATTTTTTTTTTTTCTGGTGCTGTGGTTCAGAAGGAGGCACACTGCAGATTTACACTGTGATTGTTCAGAAGAGCCGCAGCGACTACCGCAGAGCTGCCCGCCTGCGCTCTGGGTGAAGCGCGTCTTTATTTCTAGCAAGGATCAGCTTTTTACAGCACAGGATGGTGTCTGCTATCCCAGGGCAGGCTGTGCAACCTGTTTGTTTCTGTTCTCATGACAAAAGCTCTGAAAATGTATGTAACTACCTCATCATAAGGACACTGGACTGTATGAGCAGGAAATGTTAGTCCTCGGGTCCTGCAGCCCTGGCTGGGAGCCTTTTCCTCCCCTGCCTCCACCAGTGTTTGGAGAAACTCCAAGGCTGCAGCTCTAGTAGCCTAACTGTAAACCTTCGTTAATGGCAGGATATACTATGTAGAAAAAAATTCTAATCTCTTGTTTGAGTTCTGCATTTCTAGGGAAGGGCAGTGTTTATTTCAGAAAGCATTGATGCCTTGGTGAGGGGGAAGTTCTTGTAGGCCTGCTGAAGAATGGGGGTTTTATGCTCTGTTCCAGATGGGTGGTATATCTCTGCAGACAGAAGTAGAGAACCCGGGAGTGGTGGAAGTGTGAGGCTGTGGGAATGGGGGAGAAGAGATAGAGAATCAGAGAAGGGAGGAAGGCAGGCACTGAAGGGTGGTGGCTGTTGAAGATGGGTGCTGTCATTATTTTCTTGTGGTAAGGAGTAGTTCAAGAATTTTCCAGAGACACTTTTAAGAAATTTCCCATTTTGAGTCGTGCTTTTCCAGCATGGCTGAACCCCTTGCGAAGGTGCATGGGACCATGAAGGTGCACAGGTGAAGAAGGATCACATGATGGAGGCAGAGCAGGAAGCAGGCAGCAGCCTTTGAGATGGCACTGGAGCGGGGGAGCAAAGGCTGTCTCTGGAGTGGGCAGATGGGCTCCGCGACATCCATGGAAGCCCTGTGGAATGGCAACTTGAGCCTTTGGAGTTGGGACTTAAGAGAAGGTGGAATGGGAGGAGCTTTTACCATAGTAAGATGTAATGTTTCCAAAACCAGTAAAGAAAGAAAGAAATGAAAAGGAACAGAAAAAAAATTAAGAAAGAAAAGAAACTCAGAGTCTTTGGAGAGAAGGGATGCTGTCAGAGATACAAGGGTTACTGAACCTTCCTGGTGGGCCCCAGTGAGATCAGTGCCATAGCCACTGCTGTCCAGTAGGCATGCCCACTTCCAGGACAAGTGGTCCCAGGGACCATCTGCCAGCCTTATGGGATGCTAGTTGGACTCTGACCTACTTTGTACATGCTGTCTGCTTCCTGATTGCTAGAATGGTGACACACCAGGGTGTGTATGTTCATGTGTGGGTGGGGTGACACACCAGAGTGTATATGTTCGTGTGTGTGTGGGGAATGACACACCAGGGTGCATATGTTCGTGTGTGTGTAAGAGAGACACACCAGGGTGTGTATGTTCATGTGTGTGTGTGTGTGGGGGGGTGACATACCAGGGTGTGTATGTTCACGTGTGTGTGTGGGGGGTGAGAGAGAGAGAGAGAGACAGACAGACAGACAGACACCAGGGTGTGTATGTTTGTGTGTGTGGGGAGTGACACACCAGGATGTGTATGTTCGTGTGTGGGGTGGGAACGATCACAGGGGCGTGTGTAGGGGGTCATAGCCCTTACATCACCCAAGCCTAGCTTCAAGCCATGGAGGACTGGTATTGTTGGGACCTGTTTTTGGAGATTTTCTGTGCTGGAGTTCTTCACAAGCCTTGTGACACAGAGAACAAAATCTTTTCTGGAGGAAGCCCCACTTGCCCCCCAGAACCTAAGTTCTCACTGCATTCTGTTTTCAAATGATGGCCTGTACACAGTCAGAGGTGATCCATACACAAAACTCCTGCAGTGGGATAAGTAGCTAAAAGAGCCAGGTCCATTAAGTGGGGTGCTTTTGCTGATCTGTGGGCACACGCAGTAGAACTGCTATTCTTATTATGAATGAGAGAATCATGAATATATCTTTAGAGAACAGAAAACTATACAGTTTTTCAGAAGACGTTTGAAAAATGCCCAGCCATGCAAGCCCGGTAACCTAAGTCTGATCCCTGGAACTCACATAAAAGTGAAAGGAGAGAACAAAGTCCACGGAGGTGCTCTTTGACCTCCACATGCTACACTCCGTCTCTTTCTCTCCATCTTTCACTCCCTCCCTTCCTCCCCCTCTCCTTCTATACCTCCCTCTCCTTCTCCCCCAACCCCTGATAATAATAGGACACTTAAAAACCAACTAAATGAAGAGCTTGGTGGCCGGGCCTAACACATGAGATGGAGGCTGCAGAGCAGCCAGTGCAAAGACAGTGGATTAGAGAAAGCCCCAGTGAAGCAGAGAGAATCCTGAACATGAAGTACAGTAAGGTAGAGACGTAGAACATGAACTAAAATCTCCATAGGAAGGGAGGACAGAGGTTAGTAATCTGAAGAAAAAAAGGCACCCACTTTCAGAGTCAAGAGGCCAGTGGATGCTGGATGGAATTAACAGAGAAAACTGCGTAACACATCACAATGGATTTAATTAAACCAACCTCAGAGAGAAACTTTGTGTGTTAGAAAACTCTCACAATGTATATTAAGACATCCTCAATCTCGTGATCCTCCTGCCTCAGGCTTCTGAGTGCTGGAATGAGTCACCAGAAACTGTTAAAGCCATTACAGAAGGAAGATCCTCATCAGGGATAGCTGTTCATCGGGAATGGTCTTAATAATACATCAGACCATGTTGTTGGTCTGCTGAAAGGGTTCCTCTGGGTCTGCGGCCAGCAAATGTACCCTTTAAGGTGGAAATGCCAGTCTGTGTGAACCTGGATTGTTTCACACTGGCCCAGGACACTGTAAATATGATGGAAGGTGAATAAACGCATATGGTAGCTGCCTGGGTAATACAAGCAGTAGAAGGGTCCCTGGGAGTTTTAGACCCAATGCCGGAGACAGCTTAGCAACATGTCCAACCTGTAGGGAGTGGCAGGCTGTCAATCAGAAGTCTGCAGACAAACCAGATAGCACTACTTCAAGAAAGGCAAAATCTCTTTCTCTGTCTAGAGAGTCAGTCAGATCACGGGCCCTCCAGGGCATTGGAAATGATTTTAGAGTTCCCATCTGAGAGCAGCTATATCCATAGCAGAAGCTGGCTTCCAATCCTTCCTTGCCCCTTGCCCTTGTGGGAACCACAGCCCCTGGGCATACAAGCATGCAGCCCCCATTCCCTCCTAATTGCACACTTTCTTGCCCTAGTGTTGAAGGAGCAGCTTCTCGGAAAGGAGTTTCTTCTGGGCCTGGCTTCCTTGACAGGCCACCTCCCTTGGGAGAAATGGGCTTCACTTGGGTCATCTGGATTGCTGGGAGGTGGGTATTAGGGAAGACTGCCACATAGTGCCAGCTGGGCTGCGGGCACTTTCTGAACAGGTATGGCCTTCAGGAGGTGGGCAGGTCCCCCGATGGGCTCAAAATAGTACCCAATTTCTTTTTCCTTTTTGTATCACTTCTTGGTCTGCTCTAAGACACCCTGCTTGTTTCTCTGTTGGGAGAAGCAGGTGGAACCTGCAGCTGGACTGTACT